AGAAAAACAACGGTGACCACTTCTCCCATCGTTTAAATTAACTCCCACTTGACTTAGATCACTCGCAAGTCTTGGAAACAACTAGGCTGAGCGCAGGATTGAAGCAGCAAACTTCCATTATGGCTGATGTTGCCAGCCTCACGGGCAAGGCAACATACGAAAGTTAATATTTCCTTGATGAAATTTAAGACACAGCGTTGTCATCCCAGCCATATGGACCTGAAATACGTCAGGTACATTCGCCAGCCTGATATTGCCAATTCGGTAGGCAAATCGGCACACTTCCGTCGATTGATGTTTGAGTTACGATGTAAATCACATGCGGATAGCGTCCTTTTCTGTGCTGTTCTCCTTCACAGGCGAAATAAATGACATCTCATTGGCAGTGAGCCACATGTGACTGCGAGTATCTTCCGACATCGTCTGCCGCGAAATTGGGCTGGTTGTATAGATATATCTTTGAAAAATAGGCATCCCAAGAAATATAATTAGGAAGGTGAAGTTCTTTGGGAAACGGCAAAAATTTATTGTGAATTTTCGAGACTGGTTCCCCAGCTCGTCTTCAGACAAAGTAGGAACCCTTCTTCGAGATCTTGAATAAGGGACTGTTTAGCTCAGGGCTACTACCTCAAGACGCATCCACTTGACCGCCATCGCCGACGATGTGCACCGTGTACTCCACAACAAGGTGAGATCAAGCACGGAGACTTGTGCGTGGTTTATTTTTAAGTGAGAGTAGACTTGTGCTGCATCTACCGCACTCTCTCCTCCTCTCCCACCTGAGATCGGTGTGAAGACATAGTTTGGAAGATCGGAGATGGGAGAGGGCGAAGGTTGCTGGCATGGCTGGACCCGCACCTTGGCTTACCACCACACCTGGTCCACAACAAACACTTGACCAGCATTTTAACCAACAACAACAATTGGGATGGCAGGCATCCCAATATGCACGGCTTCAGCCTGTAACCGGACCTGCCACCGTACAGTTGCGGGTATATCAGTCACTATATTTGGAGTAAACGACAGAAGCCCTGAAAACTCCATTTAGAAGCTACAAATGTAAGGGAGAGTAGTTAAATTGCAAAACTTTTGCTTGCAGCTTTAGTAAGAAGAATTCATAAGTCTAATAATATAACATAAAGACGAAAGGTACATGTTATTCGCGAAATAATTGCGAAAAACTTTTTTCACCGCATTCGGACTGTGGAAATTTCCATATGGGCTAAGTTTGGTTCACAGAAAGGATCTGTTGAAATCCCGCTAGTAGTATATAGTCATTTCAGTAACCCGCTAGATCAGGCTTTGGCAGTTTGGGTTGCCTTTCCGCAGGTGAGTACCCAGTTGTCTCTTGAACACGTTCATGGTAGGGGAATTTACAACATACTCCGGCAAAGAGTTCCATTGGCAAATGACCATCTGTGAGAAAAAGGAGGAACGTTGATTTGTGTGGCACAGTTCCCTTTTAAGCTGGTAATCATGTCGTCTGAGATTAGACTTGGATGCCATTTCAAAATACGTTTCCCAGTCGACATCCAGATTAAGTCCTTTTACCAACTGGAACATTGCCATGAGGTCACCTCTGTCCTGCCTGTAATGGAGGAGATAGAGGCTCAAGGCCGTCAGGCGCTGCTCGTACGTGAAATTTTTGAGGCCATGAACAGCCTTTGAAGCACGCCGTTGCACACTTTCAAGGATATCTATATCCTTCCGAAGCCACGGCCGCCAAGCCTGTACCGCATATTCAGGTGCGGCCGCACAAATGTCCCGTATACTTTGCCAAAAACATCTTTATTCAAGTGAATAAACGTTCTGCGTATCGCGCTCATAGCTGATATTGCCCGCGCAGCGACTTTAGAAATTTGCGTGGTGACGCTTAGATCGTCTTTAATGAATACACCGAGATCTTTTTGCACATCTACGGTTTTAAGTGGCTGATTGTCCAGGAGATACTGTCGGGGGGTGCATTTGTTCTTCGCTTCGCTGATACTACGTGCATTACTGCACATTTTTAACGTTGAATTTCATGCACCATTTCTCGCTTCATGCGTGTAAATTCTCTATGTCCTCTTGTTGTATCTTGACGTCATCTTCATTTTTATCGTTCTCCAAAGTTTAAGATTGTCTGCAAAGAGCGCTATGTCCGATTTCACTTTCCGTACTGGGTCATTTACATAGATGATGAATAGGAGCGGCCCAAGAACTGACCCCTGTGGGACTCCACATGTAACAGGTGCCCATTCTGAGCAGTAGCCACCCGCAGTGACTTTTTGTTGTCGACCGTTTAGGAAATCTTGGATCCGGTTCAGAAGATTTTTTCTTATCCCTACTTCTGACAATTTTTGAATGATGCGCTTATGCGAGACGCAATCGAACGCCTTGCTGAAGTCGAATTAAATGACATCAACTGGATGTCCGACATCCATGGCCTTTGACCAATGTTCGAGTGACGAAAACAGGTTTATGAGGCAGGACCTCTTTTCGCAGAAGCCATGTTGAACTGAAGTGATGTGACAGTGGAATGTGTAGAACGATGTAATTGATTTTTTAACTTACTTCTCCATTAGTTTGCAGCAAATGCATGTCAGACTCACCGGCCGGTAGTTGGTGGAACATAGCCGTGATCCTCCCTTGTAGATAGGTGCGACGTGTGCCAACTTCCATTTGTCAGGTAGTTTGCCAGCTTCCAGCGATTTTTGGAAGATTATAGAAGTGGTTCTGCTAATTCTTCAGCTAGCTGACGTAGGAGTTAACCTGGGATCTCATCTGGCCCAGGTGACTTGGCCGGATCCAGCTTATTTAGCTCTGATAAAACTAACTGTGGAGTAAAAAAATACTCTGCTTATAAGTGGTTGGCTGGCGGGCAGTGCAAGAGAACACGACTGGAGGGGTGGTTCCGTGGTGTAGGCACTTTGGAAAAACTCGGAAAGAAGCTCGGCATTTTGAAAGCCATCGCTCACAATTTGGTTATTTTTGTCCTCTAAGGTTGCCAGATGGTCCCCGTTTTTCGTATTGCTCCTGACATATGCATAGAACGCTTTAGGTTTTTGCTGCGCCTCTTCTAGGAGCTTCAGTGCATAAGAAGCCCTTACTTCTCAGATGAGTCTTTTGCATAAGGTTCGTTGTCTGAATTCTTGAAGTTTTTCTGGTCTCTCCGTTTGTAAGATTTTTCACAGCTTTTTTTCGGATTTCCTTCTTAACCGATGTTGTCCGCCATTTCGGTTTATTTCCGGTTAGATGATTTTTGAGGGGACAGTATCGTTCGATCAAGTCTCTCATAGTTGATTGGAAGATTGTCCAGCATTCGTTGACATCTCCTCGTAATGCTTCTGTCCATAGTGTTTGTCCAATCTCTGATTTCATTGCCTCAAAGTTACCCCGCCTGACATTTCATAACGATTTTGAGCTTCGTTCGGGGACAGCCACGAGTGTCGACTCCCACATTAATGTCATGTGATCACAAGGACCTGGGGGCGGGCCTACATTTATTTCATCAACGCTTTCCTCGGTCTTGGTAAACTCAAGCTCTAGGCAACTAGCTGTCTGACCTTCACGCATCCGAGTCACAGTTCGTACATGTTGAAACAGAAATTCATCAAATGCCATGTCTAATAACATTTGGTCGAATCCTTTTCTGTGGCCCTTAACTGTCATAAGGTCCCAGTTAATCCGCGGAACAATGAAATCTCCTATAATAATAATGTTTTGCTTTCGACTGTCCTTGCGGATTCGAGTGATTAACGCTTGATCTTTGTAGGCAGGTTGATTTGGAGGCCTATATACCACTGTGATAGTAACGTTTTCGGTTTTGGGGACCAGCAAATGACACTGCAGCATCCTTAGATCATGCTCATTTACACATTCTTCAACATGGTCATATTCGACCGCATTGCTGATATATAGGGCAAATCCGCCACCTCGCTTTTTGGTTCGGTCTCGTCTTAGCACTAGATAACCATCTAACTGTATTTGGGGGTCTGTGACATCCGGGGTGAGCCACGTTTCAGTTAATGCAATAACATCAGGACATCGTTCGGCCGCAAGGACTTTGCTTTCGTCGAGTTTTTTCAAGAGGTTTTGTACATTTCCGTAGACGAACTTAATTTTATTTAGGTTTTTGCGTCGAATTAGTTGCCCGGCCGTGTGGACTTCGTCAGTATGACAGGCGTCCTCCACAGGAGGGGTCTTTGTCGTCGAAAAATCACTCCGTTCATTATTACTAGTTCCTTCTCTCCTTGTTCTTTCCAGGTCGCCAGCTCCGCCTTCAGCGCCCTCCATTTCATTCTATCTTGTACTGAGTAATCCGGTAGAAAAAAGACCTCTATGGCCAGGGATCCCCCATATTTTTGGTTCAAGTAGAAGATCCCTCTGGAGTTTTCTTTCTCAAACTATTTTCAAAGGCCTTGGTTTCATCCCTTGAGAGCTCGCGCTGTCTTTACTGTTTAGTCGGACAAGTTTCAGAATCTTAATGGCTTCATCTTCTCTTATTATGCTACCCAGACACTCTTGCAAGGTCATGATATCATCATGGCCACATCTGCCCTCGCGAAACATGCACGACCTGGCCCCCAAGCACGAACACCAAGATTTCGTACAACAGGGGCTGAGCGACGTACATCTCACTTGCGTAAGATTGCCAGAGGTCGCGTTAAGAAGGAGCCGTCTGTGTCAGATTCCCAGCCTACCAGTCCGCCACTTCGTAGAAACACAAACAACTAAGCAGATTGTGTGGACTGAGTTGGGGCTTCAGTTGGAAACCCTCTAAGCCGCGCGCTTGACGCACCGTCAAAGTCTCAGACTCGAATCACACATGCACCACAGGAACCACATAGGGGGGGGGCGGAGAAGCCCAGTCGCCCATTGCGTGAGAGGCAACAATTGTATGCTTACGTTGTGTGCTGATGAACGATGTTGTTATGCGTTGCAGATGCTCGTTAGGATATATGGTGGTATGGTATGACCGGTGGTGGTCTGTCGCAGGTTTTCATGAATGCGCATATCGCCTAGTAGGCCTTGTGGGCAGTTGAGTCGAGTGCGCCTGGTTTATGTTGATTCTTCAGGCGCTGGTTGGCCAGTCTCCCTTCGACGGCTTCGCGAGTGGCCGACCAGGCCAATGTGTGAGGTGAAATTGCGGTCACAGTGAGGACACGTTGGGACCAAGTCCCCATCTCTTGAGGTAGGGGTATTGAAGGTGATGGTAGATAACGGGACATCCGCTCTCGTCCCATTGGTGGGGGAGTGCAGAAGGTCGTGGTGTTTGAAGAGTAGGTTGCTGTGATCGACGCAGGGTTTGGGGTAGAGCAGATGGTGTTGGAGATCGATAACGGAGGGGGATCACTGGTGACGGGAGTGGTCGTCGTCACGAAATTCGCGACGGGGGTGATAATAGCGGTGTTTGTGGAAGAGGACATCGGCGTTGTCGTGTGGTTAGCTAATTGAGCCCGAAGGTGCTCAGCGAGGCCGAATCGCACGTAGAAGATACGCGTTAGCAGCGCGGGCATGTTGAAAGTGATTGACGGTTGGCATTGAGGAGGTGAGGCACTTGTGACTTGCAAGCCTCCCTTTTGGCTTTGACGGCGGCGATCTGATTTGCTTCGTAGATAGCTGCATCAGTCTTCTCCATGCCCGTTTGCTACTGGCGAGCTCCTCCCAGGTCTGTGGATTGGTGTATAATCGCTTTAGAGTACTCTTCAAGGTGACCTTGTAGCATCGTTTTGATCCTCCGCCCGGCCAGCACCCGTGGTGACATCTCCGCAGAAGGGTTGTTTTGGTACTGTAACGAACCCGAATGTCAATACAAAGGCGGCCCAAGGGAAGGAAGACTTTCTGCGGTTGGTTTACTCAACGACCTACGCACAAAAAGAAACTAAAAGGGGAGCCTAATTACAAAAATAAACTGGGTCAGGGTGATTGTTCACGGGGCGTTGGCGGGAAACTTGGAGGTAAGAGGAAGACAACGGCAGGACTCCCCACGTCCGAAGAGCGGCAACTTGCCCGAGGTCCTTGGAGGTTAATCCTCGACGTATTTATAACTTCTCCAAGCGTTGAGTTCGAATCCGCCGTTTTGATTGGTTGGGAATAGGTTTAGGGGGAAGGTTAAACAAACTTAAGCTAGAGGTATAGTCACTAATTTATTTTTATATTTATTTATTATTTATATACTTTTTATAAGAAGCGAAGTTGTGACCTAATGCTTTTCACATAAGTGCAGGTAAATTTGGCGCGAGCGCCCCTATAGGGGCTAGGGCGCGCCATCTAGAACTTTCTACAACATAGTGGCGCCTCGGCTAACTTTCCAGAGCCTACCACATTACCATCACTACAACCACCACTACTCTCACTACAGCTGTTACTACTACCTTCACTACTATTGCAATTACTGGTACTGCTAGTACTACTGCCGCTACCACTACTGTTAGTACTACTAATAGCGTTTTAACCTGCATAGATACGACAACATTGAAAGGCCAGTAAAAGCCCCCTCTCACTGACCACTTGGTGGGGTCGAGGTGACCAAAGTAGCTAGGCACGTCTGCGCCAATCTGAGCCACTTGACGACCATTCTCCTCGGCCCTTCTGTTACCTGATTGGGCAAGGACTCCCTCATGACCAGACTGCATTACATTTAACTCTGCCGCAACAGCAGTGGCGGCGGTAGCGGCGGCCTCACCATCGGCAAGACTTGCTGCCTTTAGCTTTTGACTGTCAGCCATCAGCGCAGGCTCCAAGGCACCAGGCGTACTCTTCCACTAACCCACTTAGCCCAGAAGAACGATCATGTGTACATTGGGGTCTGCCTCGTAGCGTGCGACGTTGTTCAAGCTGTTACTACCTTTGAAACTGTCTCCGTCAATGGCTATGTAGTGTACGGCGCCTCTGGAGAAGCAGACTTCGGTTCTCTCCCGGTGAAACAAACACTAAAATCTTCGGCGTTTCCTATGGCTTTGCTGTTTCCTGAATTTGAGTCCTGAGCAGAAATTTCGTTATTACCCATTCTAGTAAACAGTGAATCGGGCAAAATGCAAGATGAATTGATCGTATTCAAATTTATTGTATTCAAAAATGTCGGAATTCGAAAAGAACGATCTAAAGTATTTCCACACACTGGAGAACTCAATTCGGTTTGACTTGTTCTTCTGGATCCGTCTGTGGGTTGGCCGGGGACCCCGATACCTGTCGGCGCTCCACCATACTCACTAGGTTTAATCAAAAACAGAAAAGAACGGAAACAGGGATCAAAACCCATGTCGTTCGGCAAGACAAACGGGGTCGGACCGCCTCCTACAGCCGCACCCTCAGCGACTCTATCCGTTTTATGGAAGATGACGTTGAACTCACATGACATGCCGTCCGACTTTGCCTGAGACTTTGCCGTGACTTTTTTCATCAACCGGTGGTCATTGTGCTTATAGATTTTACCTGGGATCGCACCTGAACCTGGTACATTCCTGCCGGAGAGCAGTTTTACGGCGCAGATGGCCTCTGGGAGGGCAGGAGATCCAGGTCGATGGTGATTCCCACTTAAGCGACCGGTCAATGGTGGCGTCGGAAATTGTAAAGGGATGGTTGAGTACTCTTCTGAAGTGCTCTGTCCAGCAATTCAGAATCTGTGACTTCTCCGTCAAAAGCGTTAATCCATCGGAGCTGAGAAACGACGCAATTCCTCTGGTTGGGATTCTGTGAGAATCCAGTACTACTCCCCATGCAGAATGGCCTGTGGACAAACAACTTGTCCACCTTTGGTACAGACGCCAGGTGGACGTCCAGGTCTTCGTAAAACTTGTCGTTCGACTTGTCGGAGCCGGACATCGGTGGGACGTAGGCGCTGATGATGGTTTTGAAGTAAGACCTTCGAAGTGGCAGGCGTAGGCCCATCGGTCGGTCTTTGATGTCCTGCACCCGGCAGAGCAGATATCGTTCGGGATGGCAAAAGCGACTTTCGCGTCTCATTGCTCCGCCTTTGGGCGGCCGCTCCGATGGTGTAATGGACACCCACCTTTTGAGTTGGCCTTGTTCGGAGAACCAGGTCTCGCTGAGCGCAGCAATGTCCACCTTATGACGCGCCAGTTCTCGTGCTACTAGCGTCGTTCTCCGTTCCGGTTGGTAGATCCTACGATTATCTAAAATGAAAGGAACATTCCAGGCTGCCAGGGTTGGCGGACTTACCCTAGCAGCCAGTGGCTTGGGGCGGCGGGAGAGGGAGGAGGAAGGGCGGAAGAGTATTATTCCCTCAGAAGTCAACTTTTAACTTGGAGTGGGTCAGTTTATTATAGTTCTATAGACTCAGGTCAAAATACACAAAAAGTTCGGCCTGATATTATAGAATTATAGTCAACGGATCTACTGCAATTTCGGAGTTAATGTCTGAGGAAATTGAAAAAGCGATAATTTCAAAATTTGAGTGTCTACCAGAAAACAGACGGGAAGTTCTGGGTGACTCGCTGATGAGCATAATCCCTAGCATCTCTGTCACACAGCAGCAGAGTATCGGCGGAGCACGCATGTATGGGCTTTGGCTAGTACCTGTGCTGTTAGTGTTCTATCCCCTCACCCTAAAGTATTATTTTTGTTTTGATGGCTTTGACCGCATATGTAGCAGTCTGCAGGCCACGGTTTGCACGCAGATGTCGTGAACCTGGCAGTTGTTTAGGCACATATTATAGACCCTTTCCCGTGTGGAAGGGCACTGTACTACCTAAATAGTGCTATTTAGTCGCATTAGACGGCTGCCGCTCCCCATTATGGGTAACTAAGTTTCGTGATAGTACAGTCCATTGACCCAGGTCGCCTATGTGATCCCATGTCACCCTCGCCGTAGGACTTTTCAACCGTGTGGGCAGAGAATGAAGAGTAAAATATCAGGAAAGGAGAGGTTAGGGTAGGGAGTCGTCATACCGGTTGTGGAGGGCGGCGAGAGTGGGGTGATGTAATAGGGATATGAAGGGAATGAGACTTGCCGGGTGTGAGGCACGCACAACAACAGACACCCTCAACCTGGTTTAGCCCGTCGGTCGGGGCGGTTTCAGGGGATGGCCGCTGGGCAGAGCCTAGCTTTCAGAAGTCAAATGCGAGAGTTGGATGACAGTTAATGTACTCTAGGCGTTGTCAACACCTACAAACAGACGAGCAACCTACCACGACCATCAGGTAGACCCATATCTGGACACCCGTACACCCAACGCATCCAGTTACTGAGCCACTGTCAGCTGTTGTATACTTCCGTGAAGGTTTGCGTCCCGGGGAGGGAATCCATCTAAGTCGCTGTCCCACACAGTGGGTGTCACTAAAATTTGGAACCTTACTACTATCTTGGTCGGCGATCATTGTATATGCCAATACCATGCTCGGAAAGTGCAGTCGGGGCAGTCGGTGTGGGATTTATAAGGTCAAGCCGCTGGTTTTAAATTTGAATATAAGTGGAGGATATTATTTTAAGTGGTTTTTCTGTGAGACCTAACGATTTTAGTACCTGTTTTTTTATTTGAATTTCCTTAAATACAGGCCTTTTCTCTCAGAACTGCCTACTACCATCTCCTTTCGAATTTTGCTAGTCTATACCCGTTGTTCACTAATCGCATTTTGCAATTCTCATTTTGTGCATCCGATTTCTCTCTAACTGTTGTAATTTATTTTTACATCGTTAGCCCCTAGCTGAAATTCAGTCAACTTGTCTGCCAGAAGTTTTCTTGATCACAAATTGCCTCGAGACAAGATGAGACCAAAAGTCACTGGTCGACGTAAGCTCTCGGCTCTTGTTAGCAAACATGGCCTAACTAAACGTAAGTCAAGAGCTTTACGTAAATCTAAGTCGGATGATATTACTAGTCAGTCGTCACCCGTTGTAATTGGTCGGCAGCTTAATCTGTCTGCACTTGACCACTGCAATGACTTTATGCTAAAGTTAGGCTCTTTGCTGACAATTCTTGGACATTTATTTGACGGGAACATCTCCGATATTCCCTCTGAAGAATGTAGGCGTCTCGACTCACTTGTTCACTTGATCGCCAGTGAATCTAGTGATAGACAGAAGCGTT